ACTATACCTTGCGTCAATATTTTTACAAGTTAATTATATTTTATTGTTTGGATCTTACTTAACAACCATCCTACGTAAACGATTTTCATTTAGCTCAGTTACAAATGCGATCCTACATCTGCAGAGGATTATATCGTCAGAAAACAAATTTGTCCTCTGTTCATCCGTATATTATGGTGTTACTGTACGCATTTTCAGTGTAATGTATGCACAATTTACTTTGTTGTTTTCTAAGTGCATTCAGCTGGGAAGTCATTTAGCTAGAGTACACGTAGCATGAGATAACCCCCGGGTTTATTATGTCAAACGTTGGCGGCTACTGCACACTGCTCTCAACCACGTATCTGAACTGGCTTTTAGTTCCATAATATGGCAATGAATTTCGGATTCAAAATGATTCATAATTTAACTTCACTACGTTTACGTGTAAAAACTAAAAGAAAAAGCCTTCAATATGCTAAGGTGCCTACAGCACATTAGAGGCTGTACAATCAACAAACATTAGATAACGACTGAATGCTGCTACTCTGTCATGGTGGCACGGTTTGCACATCACAATGACCCAACGAGCCATGCTAGTGGGAACACTTGTTCCCTTAGAGTTATACCATACCACAAAAGTCTAATGGGTAATGGCTGGACAAGAAGCAGTTAACGCACCACTATTGCTAACTCAATTACCTTTTCATCTACCTCAAGAAGTAACGTTCAACGATGCAGACAACCGGAAAATATCGATCATCCCCACAACTCTGTCAGCCAACAAGTTCCCTCGGATCAATACCAGTCTTCCTCATCTTTGCCTTCTAATCACTCCTAACGTCTCTCGAACAACATTCCTACATTATTCTTAATTCATTCTAGCTTCACAGCTCATGATAACAATTCGAGTTCATGGTCTTTTGAAACTGGACTCAAAGCTACACATTGCATTCTCTATCAAATCGGACAAAAAGCTTTCCTAGCCAAAACTCCGGCACCTTGACCTATGGACGTGCGTTGTATTCGAAAAAGACGCAAACAGGACCCTAGTACGGTTATTCATTTAACCTTACTCGGACAATATAGTGAATCTGCGAAATTCACACTTCGAGTTTCCGAAGACTCAATAGCTAGCCCTCATGGTCTTGCAGACGTATAAACAGCATTAATTCCTAAGCCAGAAAGTATACTCCTCAACTGGATCCCAATAGATAGTGTTGTAAGTGCTGTTCAACTGAACAATAAATTGAAGACTAAAAAGTAGTGAAACTCGCCAGTCTTTTTGTGATCTTTGCAGCTCAAATAAAATGAAAGAGTAGTCCTACTGGAAAGTTTCACTTCCTGCTGAAAGAAAAACATTCAGAAACGGTTGTCGAAGCAGGTAATTTAAATGCCAAATAAAGTAGAGAGCGGATCCGATGGCACATTCGGAATCACAGCCGGACGAACAGATAACAGCAGTTGTCTGCTATAACTGCCGTCAGAGACCAGCTCACTGGCCAAAACGAACTACAAGCATAAAAGATAGACACTATCTGATATGGTATCCGCCAACCTCAACTCAACCGTTGATACAGATAGACCATATTGCTACCAGTTACCGCTACAGACGGTTGGTAGATTGTCGCTCTTTCGCGAGCACGTATTTCGACAGTGGCTGTGCGTTGGTTCGAGTACGCGTGTATCTGCACCTAGATCGACGTAGAAAAACTAATAATAACACAAGACAATGAGAACACTAAAGCTACTTTCAATGAGGAATCGTTAAAGTTATAGGAACAGGAAGATGCCATTCATCCGGAAGAAAGCATGTGCTTCCTTCAGTCTGCTGAAAAACAGCCTTGGGGACTGTAACCAACTCTCAGAGAGTGGTTAAAAACGGTCATTCGATCTCAATAGCTTTTACTGAATTAATGGATGCACGAGCACGTATCCCTGCAGTCTACAAGCACAATGAGGAGCGGAGGAAACTCAGATGGAGACTGAGGAGTGGTCTGCACAACCATCAACAACAGTGGTTGGCAGTAGAGGTCAAAGAGATGGAAAAGGCAGCGGCGACAGGTGACAGTAGAGTTGCTCAGACTTATCAAGGAAACTGGGGTGAAAAGAGCAGTGGTTCATGAGAATATAGCAGAGAAGGATAGAACTGCGATTTACTCCTAGGGAAAGTGAACAGAATGATAAACAAAACTCACTCTCCGAAGAACAGTTAACCGGCCTCCAGTTACGATTCCGTTTTCCGCTAACTAGTTGGATCCTAAATGGGAAACTGATAAAAGACCCTGAACTCTTGCTGAATTTAAGAAGTCTGTAAAAGACCTGAAACAAGGAGGTACAACAAAGTTAGATGGGCTTGTGACAGAGGTATTTGTGGACGATGGTCAACAATCACTGCTTGGATTAACTAGCGTTAGACATCATACGTGATCCGACGTAACTGATCTTAATTATTGATGATACCGGTCTTCAAGGTAGGAGAAAAAATCTTTCGTGACAGCCACATGGAAATCAGTCTGACGTGAATTGTTCGAAGTTCTAGGTTTATAATAATTAGACGTCTAAGTGAAGCTAGGGAACAGGAAGTCCGACACTAGCTGCATTTCTTGACCTGAAGATGGCGTTCGACTCAGCTGCTAAGGTAGTCTTATAACAGTATCTCTCATCGAAAGGGATGCCACGTAAGAACGCTGCTCTGTTGGAAGCTCTAAGCTTTGAACATTTGTGGTCGTTATTGGGCCACTACTAAGTTATTAGGTGACTTGAATGGGTCTTGTGGTGTCAGTTACAGATGTGTACTTTTCATCTTTATTTGATTTTGTCACAGATGTACTTATCAAGGTCTCATTCTTGTCGTTTGATTAAAGGAATTGATCACGTCACATGAAACTCCTTAGAAGACCTAGAGTATGAAGATCGCAGTCCTGCCAGGTGAAGACTGACAAAATGCAGTCTACTGGACGCCTTGACTGGCAAATCGAGAATGTTTGAAATGCGTTTCTCACCAGAAAAACTTAAACTGCTTTTGTCTCAGCGACTAAAGAAAAGGCTAGCTTAGCTTCACCAACTTGCGCCCTCTATGGCTCCGTCACGACATCGGATTGCCTACTAAGGGTCATGTGTACCGTCCTGAAGTTCACTTGCTCCTACTATATAGCAGTTGAACACGGTCAATAACAGTAGAGGATGAGGTTTCAGGTGTTGGATCACCGTTGTCTTCGTACCATACGCTGTTTCACAGTATCACTACATCAATAATGCAGAAGTCAGACGCAGAGTTTTAGGCAGATGTTGAATGTCAGCAAGCGAGGTTGTGAATCTTTGTTAATTAAGGTGACTGAGACATGTTTTACATATGCTTATTCACTATGCAGCCCATCGCATAATGTTAAATAGGGTAGGTTCAGACTGGAATAGGTTGGAAAGCAGCCAGACTAAAACACGACAATAGTCCATGAGATCTTTAATTGCTAGTCTGAGCCGTACACGAAAGTCTAGACTTTATATATAACAACATACACCTATGCTTGGATGGATACCTTAGGTGATGTGACCGCAGTGGTGCAGATGTATCTACACACTTAGTTTTAATACCGGATTTCGTATTCCTACCTGTCATCTCACGACTTTCTCCAACTCCTAGCAACTTTCTTCCTTATTTCTTCATATTTTTTCTGAGTCCACTCTCGCTGGATGGTCTGACGTGAGGTGCGACAACTTGAGCTGCTACGCAGTAATCCCAGGTCCTCTGTTGATATTAGCTGATTGCCTTAGCTGCATGGTATAATTACTGGCTATAAAATGTATGACCAAATATTCAGAAAACTGAAACAATTATAATTGAATTATTCGAAATCACAGTAGTGGTCGTTTTACATATAGTACTCTGAAGCTCTGCAAATACTGCTGTTTTTAAGTGTGGTAGTTTGTTGCCGTAACCGCCAGTGGAATTCTTCAGTATTCGGTATTCTTGATTCATCATAAGAACTGGATAGTTGGTTCTGAAAACAAGCTTGTGCTATCAATTATAAATACGTTAGTACATTCCAGTGCATGATAATGTTCCATAGAGAATGTTGCTGACTATTCTAACACCAATCAGATAACGTTTTATTGACTAAGAAGACCCTAACTTTACCGTTCACTAACTACCAGAAAAAATTAATTGGACAAAAAATCATAATAATGGGGTTTATTTATATTTCAAGCTAATTATGTTATGTCATGAAGCCATGGATAACTGGATCGAATCCAGCTCCACCTAACGAGGTGTGGGGAGCCCCCAAACAATAGATGGGACTCACTGCCTGAGCAGATTTAGACTACTGAATTTTTATGTTATGAGGAAAAAACAAGAAATATATTACAGTATGGTAACTTTTTGGTCCTGAAATGCTTCCTTGTGAGTACGGTTGTCAATTATTTACCTAGGTAGCTTACACACAATCGGTAGTTTACAGTATGCACACAAATATCAAATATAATACGTCTAAAATGTCCCTTATATAGAATTTTACAAGTGAAAATTAGTGCGTAACGGCAGAGATGTAAAAGTCAAGTAGTGGTTCAAATAGCACCATCAGATCTTTCAAATACACAAGCAACATCGTCCTATTTTATCGGTTTATCACATTTCAGATGGTATTATTTGATGGATAACGTTCTGGACACAATTTCTTGTCTACTATCACATCAGGGCAACTACACAACTTTTAGATATCCTCTTAATGGAGGATACGTCATTCAAACTACCTAGCAGCACAATAGAGTGCATTTACCATCACTTAATAAAAAAATGTCTTGGTAGTTGTCATACACACACATCTTGACAGCCAATAATAACAGAGTAATTTGGTAAGCACGTGTAATAGGTTATGAGTTACGCTTGTATAGAGGCTGATATTATCTTAATACTCATCGTTGGCAAGTGGTGCACCGGTTGAAAGTTGATTTCTAGGGTCAGCGAGCCATAGCCACACCATTTATAACCCGTTTATGTCCAGTAAAACTAATAAACCAACCTTTCCATTTATTCCAAAAGCTTCTTCCATAAGAGCAAATTGGTTTGTTCCTTGTTTTAAACCACAAAGCACCATGTGGAATGGATGTGGTCGCATTAAACGGTTTCTCTGAAGTACGTGCGTCATTTGTTTTGAAAGGGATTTAATATCAACCAGTCTCATCTCAGATTCAAAGGAGAAGTCGAATAGTAAAGGTTGAGATGATTCAGGACATTTGACTTCAGAAGCCAACCAAAAATCCCAATGTAAACGAGCGTATTTCTCATCAATCATTCGCAAAATACGATCAGATGACGCAGGGTCTTTTTCAGTTGTCGGTCTCACCTAAATATAAAAACACAACATATTGCTGAATATGCAATCATTCATAGCAGGGAAAGATGCCAGGTAAAATCATGAACATGCGCACAAAAACTATACGTGAAAACTTTAATATAATCTCAGTATGTTTAGAAAACCAAAACTTTAGTGCCAAAGTAATAAAAATGTAGGTCATAAATACATCACAACACTCATCATAGTTACACTGCGTATCTGTAATATTTTTCATCAAAAAACTGGTCACACCAATGAACTTTGTTATGTATGCACTTCAACATGTGTAAGCAAGTTAGACAAATTAGACAGAAAGTCATGACGCTTCATGCTACCATAAAGTACAATTCATTTTGAGCAAAAACGAAACGTCATTGTTTTGTCAAAGTTTATAAAAGGAACTGTTTTAAATTTCTGGAGAGAAGACTCCTTCCGCACACCATCAAAAGGTTAAATGAAGTTGTTAACCTTAGGTGCAAAAATACCTATGAATGCGAGACAATTAGATTTACACGGTTCAGACAATCTACGTCTCTAGAATTTCATAAAAAAGCCACAACCAGTAAAAGCAATGATTTAATAGACTTCAGAGTCAAAAGTATTATCTCACCTTTCCCGCCCTTCTCTGAAGATCATTTTCATGACGCTTTTCGCATATGAACAGGTGCTTCAAAAAATTAGATCGAGATGTAAAGCTTGTGCAGCACAGTAAGTCTAAAATATTTTTCTGGTTGAGAGACTTCGGGACATTAGCACCTTGTTCAAGCATAGTACGATATTCTGTCATATAAATTCAAGTCTTTTAGTATCCTCAGGAGTAAGACGCTTTAAAACTTCTTCCGCCTTTACTGTCCTGTCTAATAAATATGCAGGAACCTTAGTTGTTGAAAGATATTTGATGTGAGGGACCAACTTCACCGAAAACAAAACATTTTTGAGAGGACGGAAAAACATGATGCACCTAAAATGGGTAAATAAATAGATTATGATGACTTTAAATTGATGTAGAAAATTAAATTTTTACTATTTATCACAAGGATAGTATGCGTACAAGACAAAGAGCAAGGAGAAAAACAGTGAATATAAACTCCCATCGAGAAAAGCAACCTAGACGTCGTGTATACATATGTACATACGTGTGAGCGAAATGGTTTTGTTTAGAACACATTCACAGCAATTTGAGCTTTTGATAGGTTACGTCAATCGTTTAGTTCAGGCTGCTGAAAAAACACTCACCGACTGTTACCACTAGAAAAAGAGACTGAGACATTACGTTAATACTTATTTTTTTTTATAAAACAGGGCGAATGAGGTGAATAACCGCACTTGGGTCTTGCATGCGTACCCACAAGCCCAGCACACGTTCAGGATCCAAGATGCCAGACTTTTGGTTATCGAAGCATTTCGTCCAATGCAACGGAGGATGAAGACATGGAAAGCTGCTATGTTTATTTTCAACGCCGCTTCAAAAGATTAAGGATGCTGACAGCAAAGTTTACAACACACCTCAAATTTGCGGTTGACACAAATATACCATAGTGTCATCAGTTGGAAGATTGCCGGTCCTTCTGTGGCGCTTCTTCTTAATTACCCGTATATCTGCACCTAAATCGAAGTAGAAATAGCTGCGGTTGCAAGAGTTAACTCATTTTGAAGAAGACCGGTGTAATTTCTATTTTGACGTTAAAGAGACCGTAACTAATTCTCATTTTGCTGTAAAAATAAAGCTATGGAGATTTTGGCCCTCAAAATATGCTTCAGGGGATCTCGATAGTTCCCTCTGAATTATTGCATGAATTTCTACTAATTTTTGCGGTCTCCGAGCTCAATAAGTAGCAGAATAAGCTAAGATATGGATTGGCAAAGAGTCTATGCAATGTCCTTCAGAAATGGTGGGAAGCAAAAGCTAAAGCTGCAGCTATGGTTAACAGTAGAGTTGTAGGATTTTAAATATTTACAGATTCCCCTAACATTTATTAAAAACAATCTGCAGGAAGAATATTCTTTCAATAAGTTCTCATCAGGTTCTACAACTATAAAATGAAACTGTACAGCGTAAAATAAGCCAAGTTTGAGGCAAATGCATTTTCAAAATAGAGTATGAGTTAGAAACTGTAATGAACTCTATTTTGCTTTTTGAATAGGCTAATATTAGGTTGACATATATGCAGATAAAGAATGTGATAAGAAAAGAAAGCAAATGAGGAAGATATGAGTAGTCTTTAGAGGAATAATACACGAAAATTCCAGGTTTCATCAATTTTATTGTGATAGCCTCAGCTGTGTTAAGCAGGCGTTGGCGATGTACGGTTGGTATTGTTTTTAAGACACAATGTATGAAATTAAAAGCTTCATTAGCATCTATATGATGCCCTGTGTTTACTGGGTACGCTTGGACAGAACGTTTCAGCATTTTCACTTCACCTTTTCCATTCCAAATTGGTAATTGCTCTCATATCCGGAGATGCACCCACTTAATTGTACGTACGCTCTCTGTAACTCGTTTCACGGAACAGTTAAATCCATGTATGGAAGATGAATAGTTCGGACTAGGTAGTCTATCCTTTAGTCTCGGACTAGGCTTTAGCGGATTACTTAAGGCTATGAAAAGATGGTCTACATTAAATGATCTATTGACTACTCTGGCTAGGCATTGTGATACGTCCCTTAAAGCATCTCCTGAGAATTGTAATCGGAGAAACAAAAGATTTTCCCCTGTCGTCACTTCTCGTTCCGAATTACATTTGGCTTTAATGAACTTTCCTGGATTACCGCTCTCACGTAGAACATTATGTACACACGGTTGCTTTTCTTCAACATATCAGACAGCAAGCATCGCTTGCCAGAACTCTGAAATGTCGAACCAGGGATATGTGCTGTGCCTCTGACACCCTAATGTGGTCATTAAATTGACCTCATCTGACCATTGTAGTGAATCTTCAAAATTCACTTTATGAGTATCCAGATACCCAGTGACAAGCTCTCATGGACTCGCTGGTGTAGGTACAGCATTGAGCTGTAGGACAGAAAATCAGCTTCTCGACTCAATACCAGTCAACAGCCGTTTGTGTGGTGTTCGACAAAATGGATCTGTGAAACCTTGGAAGGATAGTGAGACTAGGCGATACCCGTTCGTAATCTCCCCCTATGCACCCACCGACTGCAGTTCACATGATACAAAGGATGAATTCTGTGAAAAGTTGTCAATTTCACCAAACAGAGCAAAGTGTTCAGATACAGTCATATTGCCAGGTGACCACAACGCTCAAGTAAGGGAGCTCAGCCAATCGGAAACGCACCTGGGAAATATTTACGGAATCCCATGCCAACAAACCGACAACGATGATCGTCCGTTGTAGTTTTGTCCTGATAATCACTTGTTCCTGGCTAGTACTAGCTTTATGCATAAGGAGAGACACTTTCTGAACATATCGTCTGTCAAAATCAAACCAACGATGGACATAAATAGTTCACATTGCTATAAGTCATCGGTGGAGGATTGCCACACTCTCTGGAGTCCCTGTTTAGACTCCGATCACGTGTTGGTACGTGTATGTGTCCTCGCCTCACTGGTCACAGGAAACAGGCGATAGTAAAGTGAAGGACACCAAGTACGTATTTAAGAACCTGGGGTGATATTAAGTCTGCTGTAGAAACACCGGTAAAGACAGTTGGCAACCTATACCATATGGCTAATTAAAGCTCTCTACTCGAACTCATGCAGCCGTGTACGGGCGTATGGAGAGTTGTCGTCTCAAGTGACGACAACTAGTGGTGTCCGCCAGGAGTGCTCACGGTCACCGTTGCTATTTAACTTCGTCATAGACGTACTAATGGACATAATGTTGGGTACATCTAACCTCACATAGATTCATCTACAGCCTGGAGGTCATCTTGTTGACTTGCAGTATGCAAAAGACATTGTCCTGTGAGGTGAAGACGTTGACAATATACAGGGTCTTGTGAACGTGTTGATCGGAGATCTGAGTATGTTTGGCATGCGTCTCGCACCTGTCAAATGTAAGACGATGCTCCAGGACTGGTCTGGAACCACTCCTAGTTTATTGATAGGAAGTGAAGTGGTTGAATGTATAGACCGATTCACTAATTTGGTGGGTTGCATCAGCTCGAACAGGCTGGTTGCTGACGAGATCTTATTACGGATGCGGAATTCCCGTCTCTGATTTACGTGCTGGCGTTCACTCTTGGCAGCGACTCGCGAGATATCCGACTATCTATCAGAGGACCACTATGCTGCACTGCAGTCCATTCTGTCCTGTTATACGACTGTCAGACGTGACCATTGAGAGTAGAAGACATAATGCGATTACAGGGTTTTGATCACGGATGTCTTCGTAGCATTGCTTTCATTTGGTGGAGTCACTGTGAGAGCAATGCTGAGGTTAGGCGACGAGTACTGGGCAAGGAAGGCAAGTGGATTGATTAGGTTGTGAACTTTCATCGGATGAGATGACTTGGACATGTACTGAGCATGCCGAGCTACCGTCTACCGTGACGTGCCATGCTAGGGAAAGCTGAATTAGGCTGGAAGAGAGTTCAGGGTGGCCAGTTCAAGATGTGGCAGGGACCCATAGGGTCTCTAGTTATTGATCTGAAACGTGTGGGGAGATGTACACTATCTGATTGAGGTCCCCGAGACGAAAAGAATCAGTGGTTGAGTACTCTCGGTGAAGTGGCTGAAAATCAGTCATAGTGGTGCAGATGTATTCACTCCTTGATATCTTCTAAAGCTTGAATATTCGCACTAAACTTTAACTTTAGATTGTTTATTCTCTCACACAACTTTGATATCACTCTTTTCCTATTTGCCTGTTCTTCTTTATACTACTGTGAAGTGTGGCAACTTGAACCGGTTCACCTGTGCGAGGTTCTACTTTGGTTTTATCTGTCTGTTGTGGGAACGTACAGTTACATCCATTAGTAGAGACTGGAAGTAATGATCGCTAAGACTATCGTACGGCTACTGGAGTACATCACCCCGAGCTAGTCTGATGATCTGTCTAATTTGCGCAATTGTAGCCCATCAGAAACAGTGGGTATCCTTACTGAACGACTGTCGCTGCTGTCTAGGGAGTGGCGGTCATTGTATAGCTTTCTTACCGTCTGTTACCCATAAGTGAAGCTAAAGTAGTGAATGGTTCTTGCCATGTATCTTTGAGACTGCTTCTTTGAAAATCCACTTTCGTTTTAATTCTCTCTTCCGTCTATCTTCATAATGCTGCTGCACTGTTTTGTATGAAGCTTTCCTACGACGATTTTTTGCCAAGTTTGTGTTTTAACAATAATCATTTTAATGGTGATAAATGTTTTACCACAGGATGTGAACATATAAAAATAAAGACCTTGAGATGACGCTGCATATCAAGATTAGTAAAGTGTGCAGCTATATAAATCGATGAACACCATGACCTTAAAATAGCTTTTAAGTGTACAATATTGAGTGCCAAATTGGCGGAGCGCTTACATGGTCTATTGCAAAAACGATCAAGATGATTGAGACCACATATATAACACTAGAGACCTCATTCACATTAGATCTGAATCAACAACTCGTCTTCTAAACATGAAGTATATCTTAGTAGTTCTTCATAAACAACTATACTAGCTCGAACTCCTGTCTTGAGGTTCGGAAATGAATTTATGGACATCACCTTTTAAGAGATGACTTGGAAAGGAAATCTTACTTATTTTCTCCCTTTTGAAATGACGTGTAAGAGCATGGCCGAGGAGCTTAAGGATAAGATCCGAATTCCTTACGTTTGCTTA